CTGTCAACAGATAGAAAATGCAACTTTTAAAGGTTTAATTTATTATACATTTTTGGACGGCGGTTTCAATGCAATGCGTTTGCAACTAACAAGCTGTTAGGTCATTAGCCCGCCAGCTAACTGGTTAGCATTACCTTAGGAGTGATAAAGGTGGGGTAGGTAAGATCTTAATGTGTCTTGTCAGATTCAGTCAAAGGGGAATGTAATAATTAACTGTTTTCACATATTTAGGAAAACTGACTATAGGTTACAACCGTTTCTGATTCATGCGCTAGCAATGTTGGAGCAGCCTGTAGCTACGCAACTAGCATTAGTTATATAAGGGCATTTAGAGATAAATTGTTATATTAACAGTCTTTATATTTAAGCTAGGTTCATTTTAGTCACAGTTTGTGTTTTTATATAGGAAATCATTTACAACCTGTTGGTTGCCGCGTTTCCCGTAACAGTTTACGCGCCTGGGCGGGGTGTTTGAAGTGTGTCACATGGCATACAGAGTGTATTTACTTGACAGTTGTTGTTATCATGAGCCCTTAATAATGTCTGCTTTTGGGACAAATGTAATACATGTGAAGCGTTATTTTGTACAGACAGATTGTTACACGACAACATTCTGCAATTCATGCACACGTGAGTGTATGGTTGTGATGGTATTTGTGTTGTGTTTAATGTGCAGATTTGACCTCAAGTATTTTAAATGTTGTATGAAATGTTATATAAGTATAATGACAAAAGTAATTTTAGCCTTTAGCATTAAAGGTGAAGAAGAGAATGCAGGCAGGATGGAGTGGGCAGAGACAAGTGTCAGGGCAGATTTGTGACAGAAGGATAGCAGGAAGACTGAAAGGGTTGAGTAGGTGGTAGTGAACGCTAACAAAAAGATTATGATTTGCATTGGGAGTGACCAGGTTGGACAGAATTAAACTCATAAAGAGAGGAAGTAGAACAAGAAGGGCTTCAGTGTAAAGCTTAATGATTTCTAAGTTGTAATTAATGTCATAATAACCTCTGCTCTTTACTTCTTATTTATATTTCTTTGATTTTAAAGCATTCAGTTGAGTTTGTGCATTTGCCTTTTTAAAAGGCATTACAGCACAGGTTATAATTAATTAAGTGTGATGATTATGTTCAGAAAATGTAATTGGAATGAACTGTTAGGCATTAATATTGTCTAATCTTTTCTTTAGGTATTGAAAACTTGCCATGTGAGCTACAAAGGAACTTCACTTTGATGCGGGACCTGGACAACAGAACTGAAGGTGATCATTTAATCTCTTAACATTACAGTCAATAAAACGCTCTGTGGACTTATACAAAATAAACAAATGGCTCTGACAGTATAATCTGTGATACCTGAAAACCCAGTTTAGCCAGGCTCCTTATGTATTAGGTTGTGCCACTTACCAGTAGTCTGAGACAAACAGTTGTCAATAGTTTACATCCACTCACTTTCGACCCTTTGTGACTAGAGAAAATCCAAAATATATTCAAACTTGTGCATCCAAGTCTTGTTTGATAAGGGTATTAAAGATTTATGCGATGCAGTCATTCCACCCTGGAATAAGAACAGTTCAAGGAAATCATTTAAAGGAAATTATTAATTCATAGCAAGAGATACGAACTCTATATATACATTAAGGTTAAAGGCATATTAAGTTGGCAGATTCTAATTTCAGTATAATATACAGAAATGAACAGGATTATTAAATTATTAGATTTTGCTATGGAGTTCAGAGCTCTTGTGGGAAAGTGACCTACAAACCAATCAGATAACAGTATTCCTTGTTGCTGTGGTAAATCTTTTCCCACCTTAATGTATATCAATGTTACAAACATTAGGTTGCAACATATTGATATGTTAGATTTGCATGAAAACAAATAATTTATTCAATACAAAATAATTGATTTTTTTTTAAAAATAGTTTATATTTTTTTATATTTTTTAAATATCAAAATTTAAACTTAAATGAATAAAACATTTGACCCTGTTTTAGCTCTATGCAAACTTACCATGGCATTCATGCCTACAATAACTGTATGAAAATTTCTGACCATAACTGTAAATAGGAAGCTTATATGTAATATTTTATCACTAGTTTTATTCAGCACTTTAATAATCATGTTGTTGTGCAGAAAAGAAAGGAGAGATCGACAAACTGGCTGAGGAGTACATCGCAAATGTCAAGAATCTAGCTTCTGAGCAGAGAGTTGAACACCTGCAAAAGATCCAGAATGCCTACAGCAAGTGCAAAGAGTTCAGTGATGACAAAGTCCAGCTCGCAATGCAGACATATGAAATGGTTAGTCCGAAACAATGTGTCTCCTGTCACTGTCCAGATTCTAATGTCATATTATTTTTGTTTTTTGTCCCTGTTTATCAGATTTACATCATCAATGTGTACATGTACTCAGATTTAAATATGCACAATATCTTTCTACCGTAGGTGGACAAACATATCCGCAGGCTGGATGCAGATCTGGCACGGTTTGAGAATGAACTCAAGGAGAAACTAGAAGTGAGCTATGACAGTACAGAGGGCAGAGGTTTGAAAAGTAAGCTGAGTGACTGCACGCCTTTGATCATAAACGCAACAAAAGACAAGAGTTTTAAGTGTGTAATAATGCAAATATTTTCCCCAGAAAATGATGTGCGGGGGCTGAGAGAGAAGCGTGGATCCAGGGGAAGAGGAAGGAAAGGTTCAGATGAAGATTCTCCCAGAAAGAAAAAGATGAAAAACAGGTAAGTTTGAACCAGTGCTTCAATCAAACTCAAGTTTACTGGATAATTGGCTCATGTTTATATTTAGTTCTAACCATGCTCTGTATGTTGGTCTTTTAGCCCAGACTTGAGTGACGCTCTCCTGCCTATGCAGCCATCAGACGTGTTGGACATGCCGGTCGATCCAAATGAACCTACATACTGCCTGTGTCATCAGGTGTCATATGGAGAAATGATAGGATGTGATAACCCAGATGTAGGTTTTCACTTATAATTTCTTCTTAAGCTTTATTGTAAGAACCTTTTTGACTGAGCAAGTTTAGGTTTAATTTTTAAATTGACATTTTTCTTTGTTATTCTTGGTTTTAGTGCCCCATTGAGTGGTTTCACTTTGCTTGTGTTGATCTCGCCACAAAACCCAAAGGAAAATGGTACGTTTTTGAGTAGTAACAGTGTTATTCTCTTTGTCTGTGATGAGAATATAGTTATTCATGGAATCTTACGCTTTTTCTTTCTGCAGCAAATTAACATATTCCCCTCCTTTTACTCTGTCAGGTTTTGTCCGAGATGCACCCAGGACAGGAAGAAAAAATGAGTTTTCATATTTCCAGAAGTGCTTCTCTAACATCTGTACTTTGGGTAGAGTTTCGTAATGTCATAAATATATAAAATATTTTAGTTCGTACAGCGCACCATATAAATGGTGGATCATAAAGCTTTCTTTAAAGGCCTAATCCGGAGTTGGAGTATATCTATACTTGTTGCTTTACTATGTCCGTGTTATTGGATTTCAAGATGCCTGTCTTTGTCCAGTAGCTCTAAAATGACTAGTTTACCTATGTATTATTTGTCTAATCTGGGTAAATCTGGGTAATCTTCTGGGTGTAGTTTTCACAAATTGTCATTCAGAAAGTTGTTCCTCTTAAGTCATTTACTTTGTGTGTATGTGTGTGTGTGCGCGCGTGTGCATGTGTAAAGACTAACTCAAAAACCCGGATTGTGTCTTAAGCATACTTGAAATGTCAGTTTTATAAATGACTTTTTAAAATAAATTAACAGCCTGCTGAGAATTTACAATTCAGATGCCCTAATCCATGTGTAAATGGTGATGGGAAAAGGAATTGTTAGTTTTTTTGTTACTACCTCCTTAGGGAATACATCGGCACTGCAAAAATGACTGCAATTGATAACAATGTAAAAAACTGTTTTGATTAGCTTAAACCAAACTAGCAAAGCAATGTAAAGTCATTCTGTATTGCATTTTAACAAAAACCTGCGACATCTTTGAATGTATTGTGGTACTTATGGTCAGTCAGTCAGTCAGTGTCTATTGTCAACTGAATGAGGTATTTAAGCACTTTGAATGACATTTTCCCCTTACAAGGTTTGATAATGCAGGCTTAGTTTTATGTTATAGTTTATCTCTTTTAAAACTTTGCCATAGAACATCATGTCAGACCATATATATGGAAGTGTATATATATATTTTGTATGATATAAAACTATTTTGTGCACACATTTTTTTCCCCCAAAGATATATTTGTTGTATTGCTTACTTCCTGGTGTACACTCAGATTTTATTTAATAGGATTTTAGAATCTTCATATTCAACTGTGAATATCACTCATCTAGGTGTAAGCCACAAATAAAAGAACCAAAGTCTTTGTATTTTGTAAAATTCAGTATTTTATAACAAATAAAGATTCACTATTATCCATGCATGATTTTGTTTACTGCAGCTTAAAATGGAATTAATGTTTGTTATCAGGTTGTTCTCAAACATTGTTTGGTTTTGTTTCCCCTGATTTAGAAATCTTCCTCTAAACTCTGCCTGTTTCATTCCATGAATGAAGTCTAGGTGTTGCTGGAGGCCTGTTCCCAAAAGCAAGTTGTTAAAATGGAGTTTATTAACCCTGACCTGAGGGAAACTCTTAACAAACTTAAACTATGGGTTAGTTAGTTGGGTAACAGTATTTCAGGTGCAGTAATTTGCCTTAACATGGGTGCTTTGTCATCAGTGTTAGAGACTGCAGTCACTGGATGTCATAAATTTAATATCTGTCTTTTGGTTGTCACAAAGGCTACGTTCACACTGCAGGCGAAAGCGCATCAAATCCAACTTTTTTTGACCCTATGTGACCCATATCCGATTATGGTATGACAGTGTAAACAGCACAAATCTGATATTTTCACATCCGATCTGGGTCACTTTCATATGTGGTACTGAATCCGATACATATCTGATGTTTTAGAAAGCGACTGCTGTTTGAATGGTCATGTCGCATTAAATCAGTCTTTTACGTCACTGACACAAGACAGATGCCAATTATCAGCGCCCGAGAAGATTTTACAGATAAATGCTATGGTACACAGACACCAAATCATAGCTCTAGTTTCCCTTGATTAACAGGCTTTGGTCTTTGCTTGCCATTAACGGAGGTTCAAGGTGGTTTTTTGTTTGATTAAAGGCATAGTATTTCTACTATATTGACATTTATTGAAGCATTGCCATCTACATCAGTTGGGTTGTATGTTCCTGCAGTCTCACTATAGATTTACAATCTACATTCTTAATTAAAACATTGGTAAAAAGAGAGTTTCAAAATCCATCATCTGATTCATCATCCCAGCTGCACTTTTCTAAGGTGGTCTTAGTGAAATCAACTTCAAAGTCGTAAACAAAGTCAGGATCATCTTTGCGTCTCCGGTTTTTCTCAAACAGTTCGTCCATTTGGCCTTTCTTGCGTGCCAGGTCCTCATCGTCCAGTTTGTTCAGGTCTTCGTCAGGGTCCAGACAGAACGAGGAGAGGCTGTGCTCCAGACTGAAGCCCTGCATGTGATCGCGCAGGATAATGTGAAGCTTCTCAAGCTGGCTTTGAGAGACACCCTCCAGGTAGTCCCTGTGCCGAGGGTTGTTCTTCAGCCTTTCAGCAGCCATGCTGTAGTCTGGAAGAGACAGCATGAGGTAATAGGTTGGTTGTAGTCCTGCCCAGTTACTTTGTGGCAATCTACAAGAACAAACTAAGCTACATACATATGTTAATGCAGTGTGCATTCATGACTCCAGCTCTGATCACAGCAACTATGTCTCAAAAAATGGGCTAACAAGAAAACAAAACAAAAACAGGAAGGAAAAAACGCAGTACGATAAAGGTAGATTTCCATGTATTACATATTAGTTATTTATTATTAACATTCACTAGCAATGACCTTAGTTAAACAAAGTAAGATGCTCCTATTTTAGTCAAAAATAGGAGCCTGAGGCTCAACAGCTTGCAGGTAATCTACCTGCTGCTATCCACAAGATATAGAAATTAAAACTTCAGGGGCTCATGACTCTGACAGGTTTGTTAGATTTACTAGAGTATCATATAATTATTAATATACAGCAAACGAGGCTAAAATAATATTCTCACACTGATTCTAGCTATTTCTATTCTTATATCTAGCAACATGTGACATGGAGCAAAGAGAACGAGTCCCAACGTGTCCGTGGTGCCTTACCGGAGTATTTGGAGAAATTTCGCACAGGTATTATTCTTTTTCGCACCTTTTTGGTTTCCGTGTGCTCATAAATTAAAACTATGGATGGAGGGCTGAACTGCACCCCGCAGCGCTTTGCCGCAAAACGCATCCTGTACTTCTATTACAACAAACAAACTTAACTCAATCCGACCATCAATTTAAACATGTTTAAAACAGAAACATCCCAGCCATAATTGTTGCTACTAGCGCACAGTATGAATAAAAAAATTGAGCAGCGGCTTCAGGGATGATTACGCGTTGCCAGGTTGCCAGCAGAGCCTTCACGTAAAGACGCTTCTGTCTGTTGGGATGCCTGACGTTAAATTTCGGATTTAAAAAAAATAATATAAAATCATTTAACTTTCACGTATCATCATTATTCATTTTATTCCTGAAAACTACTTTCTATGTCTATAAATGTTACTAAATGTTTCCTTAAAAGCTTGTGTTTTTCAATCTCTACACAGGCACATTTGCAGGCTCCTTGAAACTACAAAAGGGGCCTTCAAAAATCCTCTTCCGTAAACACTTCAAAGAAGCGCTTAAGCGGTAGTAGCTGTGCTTGAGTTAAATAAACACGCCTCAGCGTTGGCCATTATATTTTTTAATGTATTTTAAACTGTTCTATGTTGTTTCTGCGTTGAGCTTATTCTCGAAATGTCTCTGTTTGGGCGAAAAGGGTACGTGAACTAGGTTTTACGTGAAAACTCGATAGTCATTCAATAAGCTCTCATTATTATTGATTGAAGGTCATTTAAATTAAGTTGTTGGGTTTTTTTGTTTTTGTTTGTTTGTGGGTTGTTTTTTTTGGGGCGGGGCGGTTAAAGTTTGAAGGAAGCAATAGTATTTTTACAGTAGACAAAAAAGTGCTGTAAATATACCCCTGTATGGATAACATGACTTATATAATCTAGCACAGTTTGAAAAACAAATGCACCTCGTTCAAATTCAAAAAGCTTTTACCTGATCAGTGTAACCTGCTAATTTGTGCAGATGAGATTCAGAACCACTGTGATCTTCTGAGGCAGTGGCTTGCGCCCTCATCAGTGAGAGTGGAGCTCAACAAAAAGGGTTTCCACAGGTATTCGGTTGTTTGTTTTCTCAAAAGAAAGCTGTTCTGCCTTTGGGGATGCTTGTCAGGAAAACCAATGATATTTTCTAATATGTTTTAGGGAGGTGACAACTACAGTTGAGTTCAGATCCAAAGAGCTCAGTAGTGTCAAAGTTTTGCTGATTCATAGATGGCCCAGAGATGTCTATGTTGATCCATATCAACTTGCATCCCTTAGTGATCAAAATAATTGGAAGGTAAGATGCCGAGCAACTAGATATAGCATAACACAGTGTAAAATTCTACTACAAACCACAGTCATGTACAAAACGTGTATAGTATATATATTTTTTTTATTTAATTATTTCTGTGTTAAACTTTGTAAGATATTACTAGATTCAGCCATTGACCTTGAGGTTCCTGCTCACAAAGCTTCAGGATTTGTCACCTATGTGTATCCTTTCTCCACTGGACCAACTTCCAAGTTATTCAAAGTAACAATTCCAATACATGGTCGCTACCACAAGCCCTCGTTTGATGGAAAAATGTTGAAATCTGTTGACATAGAAGTTCCAGAGCTGCTGCTGCGGTCAGAAAAATGTAAGTGGATTCATTTCATTTTATAGCAATTTCTGACACTGTGTAAATCTATACAGACGGAAAACAATGTTAACCAAATGTGATATTTAAAATACAATTTTGTGTCATAATGTGTAATGAAACAAATTAACTAAATACATTAAATCAACCTGTTCACAATACAATTTTACCTGACTGCATAATTAAACTAAATGATGTGGGAGCGTAAAAACCTAAATCTGTATCTGTTTTCTATGAAAGTGGAGTGTCAATGAATATTACCAAATTATTTCACTTTTGTGGTTGTGGATACAACAGTCATAGGTTACATACATATAATAAGTTTAGTGATCAAAACTTTATAATGTGAAAACAAAAACGTGACTTAAAGCCTTTTCACGTTGGCTTTCTGAAACACTTTCTTCTAAAACTATTTCTCTTATCCAGGCGCACAGCTCAGCAGCTTAGAGCCTCACACAGTTGTGGATGCACCATGCACTGCCAGCAATTCAAGCACTTGTTCTTGGGTTAAAGTCAAGCCTCAGCAGGTGATTGTGAACAATATTTCAACAAATCTTGAGTGAAAAGGTGATAAAAAAACAAAAAACAAAACTCAATTATTCACTTGTTTCCCTTTTGCCTTATAGGATCTCAATCCAGTGAGTTTCCAGCTCCCAGTGGGTGATGGGTCTTTGATGGCACATGTATGCGGAGGGACTCTTCTTGTCACAATGATCTGCTGTGTGGCACTGTCCAAATACATGTGGAAACATCAAGTCATTTAAACAGCTAAAATTAGACTGGCATTATTTTATTTTTTTTATCAAACTGACAAGGAAGAGGCACTTTCAGTGTTGTCATCTTATCTGCAGAAATGTTGCAAGCAGAGGACAGGACTAATTGAGATGGGAAAGAATACTGAGATATTGCTGAAACAACAGATAAGTGCTGAAAGATATCAGAATTTATCTTTTTCCATTCCAGCTAATGTAACTATGTTTATCTTTGTGAATCCTGCAACCTGTGCAAGCATTTTTCCTGCTATGACCTCATTTTGGGAGGATCATGATTCTTTATCTGTTCAGTTTAGCGCACCTAATTAAGGAACATGTTTTTATCAATTAATTTGTTCAGTTTTGGGCTATTTGGTTGTGATTTTCATTTATTTTTGACTGTAAAATGGGCTATTATAATAACACAATTATAAAACTGGAGTCTACAGTAGTATAATCTGTATTTTAACACTGAATAAAATGTATATAGTTCAGATTGCTATAAATACAATATAACAACAATGTTATCAGTATTCTTTTCTTGTGGCAGTTTAAAGAATGCCATGATGAGGTAAAGGTCATATCCATTTGAGACAGAGTACCAGGTGTCATCCTGTGCCAACGTTTGGATGTTTGATTTATGAGTGACAAACTGTGCTGCCGTGCATACTGTCAGGAAAAACTAAGTTTTTTATTCTTTCAGCTTATGTCTTGTCTAATTACATCTGTTATCCAATTTTGGTCTCCTACAAGGCTCCATTTGTAGTTGTATGTTCTTGACCCTGTTGGGTAGTGCATGTGGCACTACACAACATGGAACATGGAAACGCCTTCAAACAATGCAGTCAATGAAGAGCCAGTCCAATATTTTTCTTGTTTTGCAGAGAAAATGCTTAGGGTAATTTAGAAATTGTATAATCACATAGTTTGTTAAAAAGAATTAAGTCTGCAACATATTATGCATCACCAATGAGCAAAGAGAGGCGCATAGTCACACAGTGTCAACACAGTAGAAGTGTTTTTTGAAGTCACCCTCTGTAAAATTTAACTAGAACTTTCACCACCAGGTGCAGCATTTTACTAGAAATACTTCATGTAAGTATCAGCTCCTGTGTAGTAAGAAAATGTACCTGAGATCCCCCAGTAAAGATCTGGATATGCTCTCTACCTGAGAGGATCACAACTGTCTTTTGTCTAAATCACATATCAGTAAGAGCACACGCACTGCAAATAGCATCTGCTTCATAGCTATTTTTGACTGGGAAAATTAGCACCAACAGCTTTTATCATACCAGTAATATACTCAGCATCCTCATTAACTCCTCCTCTTGTTTTACTTGATTTCCCTCTGGGAGGTGATGCTGCTGCTGATAACGGTTACTTTCCAGGTGCTTCCTCTGCTTCTCCATATTTCCTCTTCCTCTCATGTTGACTTTCTACACCATCTTGTGGAACAAACTGTTAATACAGAATAGTACGATCTAGCCCTATTTTAACTTCAGTTGATAACTATATGCACAAAATATAGACATTTTTGTTATAAAGTCAGTTTTATCTGTTGGAGTTGGTGGAAACGAGTGTCAAGGGTGATTTGTGACTGAAGGATAGCAGTAGAGTGAAAGTGAAGGTTTACATGATGGTAGAGAGACCTGAGACGAGATGGCACTGATAAAAAGTCAGGAGGCCAAGCTGGCGGTAGCGGAGCTGAACATGTTTAGATTGTCATTAGAAAGGACCAAGAAGTGCACAGTCAGAAATTGAGGAGGATGTTGGGATAGGGTGAGATGGAGGCAGATGACCCACTGTGGCGACCCCTAAAGGAAGCAGGGGAAAGAAGATGAAGAACCTTATAAGTTCTAACTAGTTTATGTTCTAAGTAGTTTATGAACTATACTGCAGGAAAACTAATAAGTAGTTAACCCATCATCTTCCTTTTTCAATATAACTAATACATTATATGTCTATATTGTTTTTCCTCTCTCAAAATAGGCCTTTGTTGTTGTTATAAAAATTTTGCCCTCATTTGGAATGAGTCTTTGTTACTTAACATAAGTGTACATTTTTCTGTCGTTTCTCACAGCTTGAGAAACAATGATGCGTGTATAGAAAGTAAATTTGCTAGTATGTTATTTGCTTTTTTTCATTTACGCCATAAAAATCTGAGTAAAATTAGGCTTTCAAAATTAGGCCATTTAAAATTTCTTAAGGCAGGAAAATAAACAAACGTTACATTAATGTCAGATTAGTGAGAGAAACCTGCCACATTTCATTCATAATTTACAAAATAATTGCTCTGCAGCTGGAAAATTACATCTTTAAATGCTGAACTACATTACCTTAAACGTCCACTTTAATAGGTTTCAGCATGTTTCACATTTTTATTATTCTTAATGCTTAAAAACGTGTTATTGGAGCTCCGGGTATGATCTGTGTGGTTTTGCACACGGGCTCTGATTTTTCCTTTCTTTCTTTTTTTTCTTCTTTGCTTCAGATAGCTGACTGTCTTCGCCATGTAGTTAATGTGTTGTCTTGTGTGGTTAGCGTGTAGTGTCAGAACAATGAGGCGACTGCTGTCTTCAGGTACAAAAAGGAGTGATACACCTGCTGCTGTCAGACCTGCAGATATCAGGCTGTGATGTTCTCCTTTATAGTGGACAGAAATATTTGGAGTGGCTCAAATAATTTGTGTGGCATCTTATTGAATGCAGAACAGCTGATTGTTCTGTAAATAGTTTGAAATGGTTATTTAAAAAATCAAGGTAAAAGGTAAATGGATGCAAATAACTTTGTTGTTTGCAAAACTTGTGCATAGGATTTTAAAATTGACAATTTATATTTGCATTTAAAATTATGAAATATGATTCATT